GCGACGCGACGCGCCCCGGTCGCCCAGAGCCGCCCTGCGCCCCGACCGTCCTCGCCCGACCGCCCTTCGCCCCGACCGCCCTCGCGCCCGACCGGCCCTCGCCCGACCGCCCTCGCCCGACGCCCTCGCCCCCGACCGCCCTCGCCCGAATTTTTTCTACCTCCATCTCCGCTGCCCAAGTACCACTGCGTCTCAATAAAACTTGTTCGACTGTAGCCCACTTACCTCATTCACCTCCTCTTTTATTCACTTTAGCTTCATTCCTCTATTTCTTCCACTGCCAATACTGTTTAGTCGTCGATTCTGAAATCTCCGTTATCTACATTTCCGCAGCCGTGAAGTCACGCATGTCTATTGCGTGCTTCCAACTTTCACAGAATCATTGTTGTAATTGCCTTTACTTTGAATATCATCGGTTACTTTCTCGCCACTCAGACCATCACCTTTGTTGGCGTACAATATCACCGACGCCATCGCCCACACCATCTCTGTGACGTACCCTCCCACGCAGGCCTAAACTCCATTGCCACCCCTGTCGTCGCCGCAGCTACCGCCACCGCCACCGCCACCGCCGGCCGATGTCTCTTGTTGCAATATGCACGAGGGATTTCACGCTTGGAGACGCAGGGCGCGGTTTACTCACCGGGGGTTGAAGATCCGCGAGAATCTCTCCGCGCCACCCCCGTGCCCGCCAGCTCCCCTCCCCGCCCCGTCGCCGCCGCCGCGTCTCCGCCTCCGCGTCCTCCCCGCCGACTCGCAAACTTCGAAGCGGCGGAGATGGTCGCAGTTTGATAAGATGAAGATGTACACACCCGACCGAGGCTCGCTGCCTCTCCGTGTCACGTCCCCGCCCTGCCGTCTGCCCCCTCTCGACGCCCCCGGGTTTCTCGGAGGCAGCCGCCGCCCCTTTTACAAGGCTCCCCGTGATTGCAATAACTCAATTTACAATCTACATTTAGCAAATTGGCACAAGGGGCGTGCGGGAGGAACCGGAGGAAGTACAGGGCTGATAAATTTAAACTTTCGTCACCTCGTGGGTGGGAGAGGGATTGTGCGGCGGGCGGGCGAAGGAGGAGGGGCAGATGAAGTCTCACGAGGCGGTTGCGAACGAAAAAGGAGACCAGAGGAATGCCACGCAACCCAGGAAGTGAGATGTCTTTCGGAACATACTCGGATATTCTTTAGCTGTATAATGACGATACTTCTTGAATCTGCAAAAATTCCAATGACAATGTAAAACTGCTTATGACAGCTTTTTTTTTCTTTTCAGATTTAATTCGTTATTTTCTCTCTCATTTAATTATTGTTTTTTTTGTGTTTTTTGTTTCTCTTCTCTCTTTTCTTTTCATATTTTCTTTTATATTTGTTTGCTTCTTTCAACATCATTGATTTGGAGAAAAAGAAAAACATTTCATGCATGTATTTTAATACATTTTTTAATTAAAACCATTAAAATCAAATGTGAGATCTAGATATCATATTTTAAGAGACAACTTGCGTAAAATTGTAGGACATAATGTTTCTTATCCCGCTTTTCGTCTCACACACATTCGTATTTGTAACACATAAAAAAGAAACTGGTGAAATGAGAATAAACCATTAACATGTAGTAATCTTTTGAGATCAAGCGTAAAAAATCCGCAGAATAGTTTTCTAAACACAGTTAATAGCGTTTTCAAAAGATATCTTCTATCTTGAATGTTATCTGATGCTAAACCGTAGTGTTCTGATTCTTTATTGTTTCGTAAATTTTGTGAGATACGTCCCACAAATATTACAGCTACTTTCGTTCAGCCATAAGCGTAGTTGATTTCTGTACAACTGTGATAATATATTTTTTTGTTATACGAACAGAATATTTTTGTAAAAATCACTCTATAAAATCGAGATACTATTAAAATTATTCGAAGAAATGTTATGTCAATGCTTCTTCCACTATTCCGGAAAGCAAACAAGATTAAGTAGAAGTTGATGAAAATTGAAACGATGACTTCGTTACTTTTCCAAAACGTTTTCTCTCCACCTTCTCTCAAACCACGTTTATCGTTTCAAAAAAGTGTACTTTATAATTCACGATTCGAATCCGGTTCGGTTCGGGCCGGTTCGTGTCGCAGGCAAGCGAGCCAGCCAGCGCATGCGCGTACGGCTGGCGGCGCGACCGCCCGCGGGCCGCCAATCAGCAGTAAGCCCGCAGCGGAGGCGAGCGGCCCGCCGGCGCGGATCAGCCGCCTCCGCCCCTGCCCCTGCCCCTGCCCGCCACGTTCGGGACCTAATTACTGCGGGATTACCTCTCATTACCTGGCGTGCGCGTGCCAGCCGCCGCGCTCCTCCCTCCCTCTGGGCCACGGCTTCTTCCCCTCCTCCTCCTCCCCTTTTCCCACTCCCACATCCGCGCTCCGACCGTTTGCCACCCGGAGAAGGTACACGAGCGCGCGCATGACTTTGTCGCTAGTCCAATCAAGCGACTGCCTTTTGTGCGTCCTGCTCGAGAGAGCCCGTCAAAGCGTCCAGAATGCTCTAGGCGCCACGTCGGCTGAGAAGGGTGAGAATATGCTGCACCAATTCGCGGGTACTACGTATTACAAAATATTTCGCGTGTTCTATGTTTATTTTTTTAATAATACTTTGAATATTAATATTTACATAGGTTGTAAAAACTAGCCGATTATTTCAGATAAATCCTTGAGAATAGAAACTAATCGTATGTAATCCTTAAAAATTAGTTTCGCTTAATTAGTCCATCACGTCGTTTAATCTGGATAGTACGTAGTTAGCTCTGACCTTTTGGGCGACCACAACAAGAGTCGAGATCCAACGGACGTGAAATGCGGGGAAAGGCTCCCGACTCCTGCTTCATACATACTTAAACGTATAACAGACTAAAAAAACTCGGTAAAAACAGTTTGAAAAACATTTCGGTGTTAAGTAGAATTTAGATTGTCAGAATTAATTGTTTTTGTGTTTACAAAAATATGGACTTCGATGGAAAAGTACGTTTTCATGAAAATGTGCGATGTTCCCGTTTTGGACAACTGGTTGGCTAAAATAGGATACTCACATTAAAATGAAGATTTTTATTACAAAACATTTAGAAAGTCAATAATCGAATTAAGCAAACTGTGGCAAGTACGAGACGTAAAAATAAACATTTTATAACTGTGTAAATTTGTATTTTAGTAACATTCTAGTTTGTACACGAACAAAATAGGGCCGAAATCATGCACAAAGGTCACAAATAAGTGTCATACCTTCTTCGACATTCAAGCGGGCTTCGTGTGTCCAACCTCACTCTATCCAGCTTACGATCCAGATACCATACTCTATCCAGCTTTCGATCCCCATGGAATTTGTCGAAAGATCGTTGCAGAAGATACAGGCATTATCATCATTTTCTCCTTCGGAACGAATTGCGATCTCCTCAGGTGTTTTTTGTTTTTAGACTTTTTAAACAGAGCTTTCTTCTGTTTATTATTTCTCAATTTTTACTTGTTCTTGTGCTTCGAGTTCTGCTTAATCATTCAAAACGGAGTCGTCCCTGTTGTGGGCCGCTTCAGTGTCCCCATTTGAGGTCATGACGACCGCTAGCAAACGCAGCGTCTTATTGCCGCCATGCGAGATAACGTAATAAATTATATGTTAAAATGTTCCTTAAAAAATAGGAGAATGAATGCTTTACTCACCAAAAATACATGACTAAAAGTAGCTTGTTAAGATCTAATACACTAAGTAGGTAAAATCGTAACAATTTTCAACAAAAACATTAAAACTTTCGTAAAACAAATAATTACACGCACCCGCATCCACAACTCCTTTCCAACTGTTTGACAGACTGTTTGTTCTCTAAGTATAGTAGTGCCATGATCGGCTCCCCTAAGTATCCCTTATCAGTAAGAAACTGAACGTCCCCGTTTGCCCTACTATCCCCATTTTGTACAACTTTCCCCAAGTCCTGCATGCAGGCGTTGGAGGAAACTTCCACGCCCGACCTTTTTCTTTGATGTTCACGATGAAAGATAAATGTTTAAGAATGCGATGATAGCTCGTATAAGATGCGTGTTGGTATGAGAAGACGACCACCCGATAATCACATGGAAAAATCTCCTCTGCCGTACGCGAGAGTCGAACCGCAGCCACGGCTCAGCGTACTATGGTTCTAGCTCCAAGCCCCTGATCCATCGAGGCAGACTTTGTAAAGGTTGCAGATGGCTCTAAAACTACCAACTGTAGTTTGTACGTGTACTGCAGAATCAAAGTGCAACTAGACGATTTCTTCTATATGAAATAAAATACATATTACAATTATTCAGCTGCTGTATGTCAAGCTATTTCGGGCTCTTTTCGGTTTTCTTCTCTTTCGCTACTCTTAAGAAAATGTTTCTATGGGTCTGGAACAATGAAGGGTGGATCGTGTTCATTGGCACACAAATGACTAAGTACAGAGATTTTGATGTACTATTTTAGTTGCTCCGAAATGAACAAAAAGAGAAAACTATAGTTTTACTTTCGATTACTTACGATGTCCTACGCATCATAGAAGCGAATAACATTCCCAGTATTTAAACGCCGTCACTCACGTCACCCAAAAAGAGTACCTTACTTCACCATACTTACACCTCTTGTGCATTTCTCTCCATCCAGTAGTGAATGAGAGTTGAATACTGGAGTCTCCCTTTTTTGACATAGCTGAAGGTTACCAAATTGGCAGCAGGTTGACATATAATACCAAACTGGTGGCACTCTGAGTACAGTGGCTGAGCTGTATTTTTATGGCTCATGAAGTATCTAGCTACTCGACATGTCTCAAAGGTTTTGACAATTGGAACGAAATTTGTATCTCGTATTGGATGGGTTTATCCAATACTGAAGGTGTAATTATTCAAATAGACTTTTTCAGAATTCCTCATTCTTTGTCAAGATGATTTTTTTCAATTAGCAATTGTATATATTTTGCAACATTTTTCTTGTTGTATCTGAAGAAAAACATTTTGATTTTATTGCAGGGAGCGTCCTCCAGCTTAGTAGTCAAATTTGCAGACACTGAGAAGGAGCGTCAGCTACGTCGCATGCAACAGATGGCTGGCAACATGAGTCTGCTCAATCCTTTTGTCTTCAACCAGTTTGGAGCCTATGGTGCTTATGCCCAGGTAATGTTGAAATTTATATTTTTCCTTCAATGTGAAGCTACTAGTTTTTGTTTAATGTGTTTCGTACATTTGATAAAAGAGGAAGAATAGTGTTTCAAAGTCACCATTGTAATAGAACCAAATAGTATAGAGGCAATAAGTGAGTAATAATACTATAGAGACAATCTGAAATATAATGGTAGACATTTAAGGCTAGCATCCCCTAGTGACCCTACTAGTCATAACCATTGTGGTATTAAGTTCAAAGTATATTTGGAAATATTTTTCAGTTTACTTATGATTTCGATTTTTTTGTTTGTTTTTTTCCTCTCACTGAGAAGTTGTAAGTCACGAAGTCTATTAGTCCTTACAGAATTTGTGTTGTAAGTGCTTTATTATGTAAACACTTGTCATTATCTAATTAAGTGCAGATATCAAATTATCAAGTCACTGTTTTGTATTGCTTGTGGTATTTTACATTTACTTTTATATAAGTGTCCCAAAATGTAAAATTTAATATATAAATATAAAAGAACGAGAACAAATAAATAAATCTTGATAATAATAATAATAATAATAATAATAATAATAATAATAATAATAATAGTAATAATAATAGTAATAGTAATAATAATAGTAATAATAATAGTAACAATAATAATAATCATCCAAAAAATTGTATATTCAATCTTTTAAATTATTTGCATGCTCATAAGAGAAAAATTAAAGCTAGGTAATATTAAACCTAGGTAATATAGGTAATATGAAAGATTTAGCATTGATTTTCAGAATCATAGGTACAATTATTACCATACAATATTAAATGTGAAATTATATTTTCAAATTTATATCCAACCAAAAACACAATAAAAACACACTTCCAATCTTCATCTAAGACATTTGTGCATTTCATACACTAGTGTTCCAGTATAGTGTTTAATGAAAGTAAAATAATTATAAACAAAACAATTACCTAACTAATTTATACAGAACAAGAATCTCAATATTTTTCTTGCAATATTGTTTGAAAGTAATATTTTTGCTTGTAGATATCTTGTACATATATGCATTGTTCCCAAGAACTTAAGATACCTGTGTACCTCTAAATTAGGTTTTTTCTGTGAAAAATTGTAATTTTTGTATTTCATTGTTTCTTGTGGACTTTTCAATGCTTAAAATACTTTGTTTCTAAGTTTGTTAGTCTTTTTATATATTTGTTTCTCTACAAATGCACAATACACATGCCACACCCCAAGGTCATTTGCAGTTCAGGATTGGTATAGTTTAGTGATCATCATGATTGCTAAAAATGAAAAAATAATCATATTATTTCATGAGAAATTATTTATGTTGTTGCCTCAAAAGCAGAACAACTGTTTTGTACAAATTCTTTCCTGTAGTTAGAAAACAAGTGTTCACAGACAACCATTTTAGAGCTAATGAATCTTAATCTAGCTTTTCCCTAAAGTTACTTTTTCTTTTGTCTGGCCCACTTAATAACTCTTCTAATTTTGAAGATATCTTCATGATTAATTTTGTTTTCAATAGCAGAAAGTCAATTCTTGTGCCTAAGACTGAACTTGTTATCAAAAATGCATTTTAGTAATAATAAATTGCTCTGTAATCAATAATAAATTGTTCTGTTACCAATGATTTTTAAAAGTTTTTATTTAAATCCATGTAAATTATATACAGGTCCCTTATCAATCTTCCAATTTAGGTTCAGACACTAAAGTGTAATACAAACAACCATCTTACAAAAGAACCATCAAAAAATGTTTGTTTGTTTGTTTATTTATTTATTATTTATTTATTTATTTATTTATTTATTTATTTATTTATTTATTTATTTATTTAATTAATTAATTTTTAAAGATTTTGTTAGTACATAATCCTATGAGTAGGCATGTTTAAATTCAGATACATGTCATCAATAAAAATTTTAAAACTCAAGTTGTCGAGTACTTTAAAAAAATTTTTTTCTTGTAGATTTATTATTGTTAAAAATTTAATTTAATAGTATAATATAATTCATAAAAATATAATCACTAATGTATATATGGTTCTTTCATGGTGTCTGTGCTTCTTTTGAACACATCACACCATACTTCTCATTACCGGTAGGTAAAACAGCAACAAGCAGCATTGATGGCTGCAGCAACAGCACAGGGTACTTACATCAATCCCATGGCTGCTCTTGCCACGCAGATTCCTCATGCCACCCTGAATGGCATGGCAAATCCAGTTGTCCCTCCCACATCAGGTAAGCAATAATCAAAATTCTTCTCTCTTTCTTCATTAGACTCAAAACACAATGAAAATCAATTGCCCCTTACCAAAAATGTGACCTTATTCATCAAATATTACTTTTTTATTATGCACTTACAATGTATGCTTTCTTCCATTTAACTTCCTTACTTTTGGTAAATAACAACATATATTTCCTTTACTATTCATTTTATTTATGTATTTTACATAAACTGTCTTTCTTTGACAAATTTTTAAAATGGGTGTCTGTCTCTTTAAGTGATCAAAATGCACTTTTCAATCCATTTCAAATATTTCAGATTTGATTTCCATGATTTCAAGGTTCTTTACTCCTTAGTAAGATTCAGAACATTATCAGTAATTCTGTTGGGAAAATTCTTACATAATCAAATGCAAATTCCTATTTAACATGATTGTTTGACATTCTTCAATAATAAAACATTAAGTCAAGTAAGAAAGAACAAAAATAATACATTATGAAAAGGAAACATAATTAATATTCTCTTACTTTTTGAAATTAATTTAAGAGATTTATGTTTACCTAAAATAACAATCAAATGACACCTTAATCAACTATATGCGGTTGGCAGTTGAAAAAAAACATATATAGGTAAAAAATAATTGTGAAATTCTTTTAGATATTTTTTAAATAAAACTATGGATAATGGAAGAATATTTAACATGTTCATGCACCAATACAACTAAATATTACTTTTCTTATTATTATGCATTCATATATTTCATTGCACTTGCACATGTAATTTTTGTTAAGGCCCGATATGTTGAAATATTCTAATGGGATGTTTTATTATGCTGTCATTTTAAAATTATTGTAAATAATTTCAAAACTTAACTAAGATTTTCACATCTTTTGATTTTTGTTTTTTACAAATCCAAAAATTTTGAAAGATGCTAAATATTTTTCATGATTCATTTTTTCAACATTTCATAACAATTTTTCATAATTTTCACCAATATTTTGAGCAATAATTATATATTTCTGAAAAGAAATTAAATTATATATGTAGCAAGGTAAGCAGTCCAAGTTCATATCAAGTATATAAACAATCTTACAGGGTAATGCAATGTATTCCCTTTCAAAGTGTCACTAAAGTAAAGAAATAATCTTCATTATCTTGGTCCATACAATAGAAATAAAAAAAAAATATGTTTCATCAATCATAGGTAGGCCTAAGTATTATGTTCAATGTTGAGAATTTACATTTCACTGATTCACTGCTTTTCTGTGCTTCATGTATTTTGATATCATTGTAATTATATTTCAACTAATCAGCTCTTATTTTAGGTACTGGTTCAGGTCAGCCAGTCAACGGTGCAATTCCCAGTTTGCCTTCCCCCACGATGCCAAATTTTAATATGGCTGCGCAAACACCCAATGGTCAACCAGCTGGTTCTGATCCATCGGTATATACCAATGGCATACCACAAACGTATCCTGCACGTAAGTATTTCTAGAACTGAAAAGCATGCAATGATTCTTCTATCAGGAGATGTAATTTGACTTGAATGTGCTTTTCAATCTACTAAATTTGTTAGTTCTGTACTAAAATATTGTTTTGTTTTCTGGATCCAGAACAGAAAGCAATCTTTTTATTCTTGTTCTAATATTTCTACACATTTTTAATTGAAATTTTAAAAAACAAAAATTAAGAGTCTAATATGCTTCTTTATGAAATATTGTAGTTATGATTGATGTATGAATAAATTAGGTGTAATATTGTCTTTTATTGAAATGTTCCATTTCCTAATCCAAATATAGACAAGTTTTACCTAATTTTCAGGTTTCTTATTCTTGTAATAAAAATTATGGTATGAATTGTTATCTAAAGTTTCCTGAAAATTAAATAGTTATTATATTTAAATGAATGAACTTCTATTGTATTTATTGCATGTTGTATATTATCAGGAAAGTCTATTATTGAGTTGGTTTATTAATTTTAGAATAAGATTTTCACTATTGGCTAAGGACTGAGATAACTTTTATGTAGATGCGCTTCATTTATCCATTCCAGCCCAGGGTCTCCCAAATGGAGAGGCTGCGCTTCAGCACGCGGCTTATCCAGGAATGCAACCTTACCCAGGAGTTGGTGAGTGATACTGCCATTGTGACCTATTCATAAATTTAGTCCATCAACTGATATATTCTGATATATGTAAGACAATATGAATGCTTTGTGGTTGATGGATGTATTGTAGATGGTAGTGATTGCATTTATTTAAAAGAGAATCTGTGATGAATGAATTCAAACACTTTTTCTTTTCTTTTCTTTTTTTTATTTATTTTTAATATTATTTAACAACTCAAAATTTATTCAAGTTGATTGAATATTGGGGAATATCAATTGGAATTTTCATCACAGAACTCACTGTTTACTTTTGTATCTTTTGATGACATATATCAGAGTAAGTCATGAAAAAATTTAGCTCTTGTAATGTTTGTTTTTATGTTGTTATGTGTCTGAATATATAAAATAAAATATGAAAGAGTGCAGGATAGCTTGAATATTGAATGCTTCTTGTGGTCCTTGCTCGTTGTTTCTGATATTGTTCAGTACTCTCTTAAAAAACTTTGTACCGAAAAGGCATGTAGGTTATTGCTCAAATAATGAGTGTGCATACATCATCCCCTCTATATATAATATGCTAAGGAAAGATGATAGGTTATTCCCTTGTATAGGAAACCATGGACACAAAAACAGGAAGTGTATTACTGCTGAATAAGGGGTACATTAAAGAGACTTAAGATGAGAAGTTTGCAATTTATAGCTTACATGGATTACTATGCACATGTTTTACTTACAAAAACCATTATGCTACGAAACACAGTACCTTATGTATAACTCAGAAATGATACATCCTATGGTCCTAAAACTAGTTTTTTAGTGTCCTTGTAAGGAACACAAGCTGTGTCTCATAATCTACAAAATGAGACCTTCTTGGATATTCTTATGTATTTTTTGTGGTTCCTTCACTCAATACCATGGATTGCCAGGAACATTGGAAGTTGGGTTAAAGTATGAAAATATTTCCACTTTTAAAACAATGATTTTTAAAAGTTATGTTTTTCGGAGAGTGCAATTTTTATGAAATATCTTCTTCTCTTATTGTTTTTGGGGTTTTCACTATTCTGAGTTATATAGCTACTCAAAATTTTCTGTGTCATCCAGCCAGGAAGGCATTGTATCACATGCCACATAGCATTTATGAAAGTATTTCATAATAAAATACCCAATTAAATTATATTTTTGAATTTTCAGTTTAATTTCTGGGTGAATGAATTTCCAGTTTAATAGAAATATTTGGTGAACATGTAAGAAAGATTTGGGAAGAAAGATTTGAGGAAACATTTCAGGGAACTTTTGAGAGTACAACTCAGGGAAACATTTAGAGGAACATTGAGAAACATATGGGAGAACTTGAGGGGAACATGTGGGAACCAGTCATGAACATGTGACAAAACTTGTAGGGGTAAGGAGAACGTATGGAAGTATATGCCAAAAGGTGCAAGGCAACATGTGGTGAACATGCAGAGGGATATGCTGAAAACATGCAAGAGAATATGTGGAGAGTTTTCAAGAGAACATGCAATGAAAATTAGAGAGAAAATGTAGAAAACAAGAAAGGGGAATTTATTGGGGAACACAAATGGAAGCAACAGAGGGCCAGGTGAAATGAACTGAGTGAAGATTTAACTCCTCTGATGACCTCTACTTTGTATCGAGGTGGTCAAATTAATTCTTACATAAAATTAAGTTGATGTGTTAATAGGCCTGTTATGGTGGTCCTACAATGCTTCAATGGGTAGTTCAGGTTCTGACCTCAAGTTGGTATCCAAAATGAAGATATTTTCACTTTTAAAACAATGAGTCACAAAGTACAGAATATTCAAATGGATCCAGCTAGTTTGAATTATTTTTTTTTCATATTTTTATTCAATTTTCTAAGAGAAATATCAAGTTGTTGGTTTCTTCAGTAACTTTTTTGAAAACATGAGATTTTAATTTTAATATTGACTATGACCCGTAACATAGAAGAAAAATGTAATTCAATAGCCATTAATGTTACAAAATTATATTTTTAACAGAATGTGTTTACATGCATTAATGTCATTGGAAGTGATTCATTAGAAACTCTGCCATTTAAGCATTCACTTCTCCTTACAAAGAGATTTTCAAAGAGTACATTTGTATATATTTTTGTGTTAATTTGAGACTGATATTGGCTTGATGGCCAGGATTTCATCAAATATCTATACTTGATTAAAGAGTATATCCAAAATTTTAATTGAATTTTGGGTAAATAATTTCATCAATTTACAAACTGTAAGATCACCGGGTCAAGAGAACATATTCAAAAGAAAACCTACATTCAGTAATTTGGTCATAATTTGATTTGGAGATATATTGTACTTTGAGTGTTCATTTTATCCTCTTCTGAGATTAATATTGACATAGGCATTCCATGGTTTTAACATTGTAAATTACTTGATTTTTCTGTATTCCCTTACTGTCTGTATAATCATCTTTAACACCAATGAATTATCTGAGAATAATGTGTGCACACTCAAATATCATGTATAATTGTTTATGTAATGAACACTTTATCTTTTCCATTATATGCATGGTTACCACTTTGAAACCATTCTCATGAAAGTGCCCCTACTATTACAATTTAATTTTTCCCTTAAATTGTCATAGTGCATCCAAATCCATTTAGGAAAAAAAACAACATATTTTACCCAGAAAAAATATTTTACTAATGTTTTGAAACAATGGACAAGTGGTTATCATGTACATGTGTTTGGTATGAAATTTGGTGTGATAACTCGCTGTTGTTTTGCTTATTCATGCATGTGTATTTTACAAAAATTCTTATTTTCCATTTGCACTTTTGCTTCACATAATTTTTGCTTCTCTTCACTTAGATGAGAAAATAAATTTCATTACATATTAGAACATTTCAGTAATGCATACAAGCATATGCTTTAAATTATTTGTTCAAACTTAAAAAAAGCATTCTAACAATAAATGATAATGGTGTGATTTCATAAGTATTAAAACACTTTTAAAAATGGAAATTAAGAAAATACATACTGTAAATATATCTAAACAAAAATATTTTTGATTTCCAGAATTATTTATTTAAAAACTTTATTTCTAAATTCCATGACAAATCTACATAAGATAGCTTTTATTTACTTATACTCTCTCAATTTTCTAGTTACAAACATTGTTTATTCAGTCTTATATTTACTTTGTTACATTATCAAATGAACCAAAAAATGTTGCATATAAATCACCTATTGAACACAATATGCAGTATTTCTCATTACCAACTCCCTAGCTTTTTTTTTTTTCCTTCTACTTTTTCTTTTTTGTACTGATCAAACACTGGGTATTATTTTGATGTGTTCTCCGGCAGCTTACCCTGCGGTCTATGGCCAGTTTCCACAGGCCATTCCCCAACCGATGTCCACCGTCCCCCCTACGCAAAGGGAAGGTAAGGAATACCTGACTTAACTCTTGAAGGGGTGCAAAAAGATTATCCTTCTACCTCATTTTTCTCTTTCTCTCTCCTTACACTTCAGTAATGTCTGTACTAGATTAAGCTTTGACATAACCACTATATCTTGTATTTTTTCTTCATTTATTGCTGAATATTTGTCTCCAAAACTCAATTTCTTTCATTTTACAAGTACTCTATCTGTGAGGTACTCATTTGAATTCCTTTCAAAATGTACTTGTTTTTTAGTACCTTTCAAATCTATAATAAACTTCATCTTTTTCAAAATGTTAATGTGCATTTGTATTCATGCAGTACAAAAAAAAGTAATCAATGTTTTCTTGAACAACACCTAATTTTGTTTCATCTTAAAACAAGTTAGATTATAGGATTTAAATACTCCATGAATATAAACCTATAGGATATATGATCAGCTTTCTTCAAATGTCTGATAATTGCTCAATTTGCTGAGATACATATTAAAAGATCACAGTTATCATCCAAGTTTGGATTAATTAATGGTCAGAAGTTTGACAAGTTGTCATAAGCTTATCTACGCTCTTACTTCAATAATACAGATGTCAATTGCATCTGCTGAGTTTCTTAAAACCCACAATTATTATTATTAGAAAACATTTTCAAATATATAGAAGAAAAATATCAAATAAAAAAACAATAAACAAAAATTAAAATTTTTGAAGAGGCAAACCTTTACATTATCCATTAACAAAGGATTTAATTAAGTTAGATAATATTGTAAAGATAAGTGCAGGTCTTGGTTAATTAATTTCATTTATTGTTTTCTAACTGTGTGAATGTTTTTCATTGTAGTATCTTCAGAATGTCAATATTCTCTTAACTGATGAAACACATTTCAACAAATATTATGAACTAGAATGTGAAATTAATTATATATAATATATAAAATTATATACATACATACATATATATATATATATAAACTATATATATATATATTATATTATATATATATATATTATATATATATATATATATATATATATATATATATATATATATATTTTATACAAATTTATTCAAATCAACATTACTTCTTATTTAGCGGAGTGGGTGAAAAACTTCTGAAATCCCAAAAAATTTATTTTTATGAAAAACAATTTAATTTTTGAAGAAAAAATGTATTACTTAAACTATTATTTATTCAAGTATAAACTAGCATTTATTCAATAATATATTTGTGGAGATATGACATCTCTGTTAGTGTTTCGAATGTCTTCCTTTGTCTGAACTTTAATTCCCTCTTTTTGCACTCTTTTAAATATCTCATTTGTGAGTGAAAATCAAGGAAAAGACAACATATTGCAGATTATTTTTGTTTAGTCATGTATCAAAAGTAACAGATGTACATAAGCTTCAAAGAATTATACTGATAGTACAAAAGTTTTAAAAATAATTTTTTTAAAAAAAGGTAATATTATAGGATTTTAACACTTGCAAAAATATGCGAAAAAAAAAATTATAAATGCGGAATTTGAAACTTTTGTGCAAACTGTTATTCTCAGTCATGTTTAAGTACAGTGTGGAATAGAAGTTTTTATTTTCTTATTGTGATGCATAATGCAGTGTGTTGTTCTTTTTATCGATTTGTTGTCTGTGTCTTATTTCAATTGCATTCTTTGTGAATGTCTTCATATTTTTCACAGTCTATGTTATTTTTCATTTATGGTGCAAATAACTTTGTGCTATGCACATTAATTTTTCACTTTTGAAAATCAGTGTTACAGTATTTTCTAGTGTTTTCTGTGTGGGATCCCAATTTTGTACTGTGTGTCATGTCATATTTTACATGCTAATGAAAATATGTTAGAATGTGTATACAACAAACTAATATTTTTGTAAATATGTATTTATTTACAATTGGATATTCAGCACAATGCAATGTTATTGATTTGATGTTCATTTTTTGTAACTATTTTTCATGCTAAGGACATCCTTATTAATAATTTTAAAAAAATCTATTAAGTTCTCATTAAATCAATATGAAGATTTTTTCTGAATTTGGTGTTAAAATTATTTTGTTGATCACTTTCAGTTTTAGTAGCAAGTGAAAATAAATTAACTGTTCAGGCAATTTACATGAAGATAAATTAAGTTAATAATTGATATATATCTATAAATTCAACTAATTTTATTTTGCTAAAATATTGTTCTCAAAATTTGCTTTTGAGAAAAATGTGTGTTAAAGCCTTTTTTTAAACCTATTCATAATAATGTTTAATGACATAAAAAATTTCAATTTTTCCCTTCCTATTACAAAATACGCAAGAAGTCAAATAATTTAAAATATTAATTGAATTTTATTCTTCTTACTTAGGTTGTTCAATCTCGGGGCCAGAGGGCTGCAATTTATTCATCTACCACTTACCTCAGGAGTTTGGAGATGCTGAGCTTATGCAAATGTTCCTTCCATTTGGGAATGTCATTAGCTCTAAGGTCTTCATTGATCGTGCCACCAACCAGAGCAAATGTTTTGGTGAGTTAATAATTCAAACAAATGTTAATTGTGCAAAGTGTATTCATCATTATTCACATAAAATATAACTGATAATGATGTTTTGTACTGAATGAAAACATTTTGGTCTAGGTTTTGTGTCATTTGACAACCCCGCGAGTGCTCAGGCAGCTATCCAAGCCATGAATGGATTCCAGATTGGAATGAAACGGCTGAAAGTTCAACTGAAGAGGCCCAAGGATGCTAACCGCCCATACTAACCTTTGGTCTAGCCTAGGATCAGCCCCAACATAGAGGTTGGTACATTTGAGATTATTTTATCAAACTTAATAATGTCTTAGAGTATGAAGATACCATGTATTGCTCATGATTGCTCCCAAGTTTTAAAAATGCCAAAACCAAGAGAAGGTGGGAAGTGAAATAAAACTTATAAGTCTGTGTATTTTGCAATCTTTTTCATGTTAAGAACATAACATTCACCATTTTCTGACTTCATTGTGTTTTACACAGTCCAAATTATTTTGTACTAATCAGATTCCTCAGAGCTGATCAGTATTTATTTTAATATAGTACTGCTTCAAGATTAGAGGAAGGCAAACTTGTTCTTAAAAGGTTTCTCTTATATATTTTAATAAGAACATCTGTCAATAATGTTTATTCTTTTTAATTGTTTATCCCTTCCTCTTTCATTCCTACTATTCATCCTAATTATGAAACAATCTAGAATTACAATATAGTATCATTTAATTTTTTTTTTTTTTAATAAAATAAAAAGTGAATTATAAACTCTCTTCTAGCACTCCACAAAAGTGTAAGTTTCACTTGCTGTAGGAATGAAAGGCAATTTTTTTTCTGAATGGCATGTTCTTCTTTTGGAAGTTACATCCAGTGATCCCACTGATTCCTTTTTTGTGAACATTTTCATTGGGAGAATTATTTTTAAGATTTGTATCAGTCACCAGATAGAGAAATATGCACTATTTCAAATTGTGTCAGTGGCAAAATAAATACTCTTGTGACTTGTTTGTACATTATTTTATGAAAAGTGTGATTGATTTATTATGCCTCATGTTCTGTCAAAGAGATGCAGGCTTGGTTTGTTTACTTATGAAAAATTAAACGTTTGTTTTCTTTTGTTGCCAAAGTATTTTACATATTCAACATTATACAGCCATGGTAATATTTTTAAACATTACTCTTCTATGTGTAATTAAAAAGTTTTCAGCCAAGTCTGTATATCTTCAATATTTTAATTTTATATCATTTGCTTTTTTCTTGGTAAAAGAATCATACAGAAAAATTAATGTTCAAAAACTAGATGTGTTCCTGTGACAATATTCAATGTTAGACAGGTTGTATTATTTTTAGAACATCCCATTCATTCATTTTTCCTACCATTCCCCCCAGTGTCATGGAAGCTAGGCTGCCATGAGGCGAATGCACGCACATCCCGTTGCCAAACGAAAAACAGAAATGAACAATAACAACGCTGAGAGTAAGTGGTTGCAACCCTGCAACAAACATATCCCAAATGATGTTGTGAAATTGTTGTCAGTTTTTCTTTGGTTCTCAGCTGTTGTGGTCTGGATCTAACTGTAGTTTTCATTGGAGTAATTACATACACTGATATACATTTCACATCAGTCTCACAAACAAGACAATATTCTTTTCATTTGGATGTATCGTGCATTTGAATATGTCGTGTAAGCTGGTATTTTAGGTGTTATATAAGATTGTGTAACTTTAACTGATAGTACAAGTGTTGTCTGCACCACTGTTTATTGGATATCCATGTTGTACTGTCATTGAAAGACATTTTAACCGTTGTTACCATAGAAGAACAAGCAGTAGAAAACCTCAAAGTATCATAGTTATTTTATATATTTGTCCTTGGGTGCTTGCATGAGAATAGTCTGAAAAGTAGTGGTGTGAAATAGAGGCACAAATGCATTAGAATTCAATTGACTAATATAACAATTGCTTAATGCATAATGCAAACAATTATGTTATTTCATTCTTCTTTAAATATTGTCCAATTTTTCTTTACAAATACATAGAACAATTAGTTTACTTAAAATTAACTTCAAAACATTAGAAACTTTTGAAGTTTTTCTGTATGATCATTAACTATTCTTATCCAACTGAATTTAATAAGTATTGAAATTAATAAACTTTTTTCTAAAATTACCTAGAAGTTTTAAAAGGTAAAGAAAATTGAAACATTCAAAGATACATGAACATTGAGTGTAGAGCTGAAAAAGTAGAAAGTTCATTCCTCAGAAATTATTTCAAAACTCTGAAAATCAGAAAAAATGCAATGGAAAAAATGTAATAGGAAACAACTTGGTTTACGCATTTTACTTAATAATTACAAATAGTAGACAGACAATTTATATTCTATTATTAAATAGGCTTGTTGTGAAAATGCAAAATAAGAATATAACACATTAAGACTCGTCTTCATTTATTGTTTCTTTTTTTCTGCTTTATTACCCCCCAAAAAATAAATGTAGTCAGTGCCAGCACTAGGCATGGGCAGACTGGGCATTTCCTGGGGCCCCGACGAAGAGACTGATGGGGAAAAATTAGTAAGAAATTGAAAAATAAACCGGAACTCAAGAAAATCATTATCATAATTTTGTAAGCCGTGATACAGTAGTCAGATATTTTATACATTTTTCAATTAATTTTTTACCTTAAATAGTAATTTATAGTAATTACATATAAGGCTAACATTAAAATAGATTCTACTGAAATAGATATTTATTATTTCATGTATTTAACAAGTGATTTTATTAAACATTCACTACATGCAACACATTTGTTTAGCATTTTAAGCTGACCATGAAAATTGTATTATTTCATCACTGAATACTTTTACTTAAAACTTTTTCTAGCTTAAACATTGTAATTTTTGTTTTTTGTTGACATAAAATAACTTGTTAAAACTTTAACGTCTTCTATTTGAGGGGGGGGGGGGTGCTTCGTTTTAGCAATGCCCCAAGCCCAGAATTGTCTCACACCAACACTCAATCTACTATAAGGTTTTGACCTGCATTTACTAACAAACAACTTCAAAAGCAGTTCAACACAATATTATAATAATAAAGTGCATCACTGTTTGCAAATGAAATGGATCTCTCATTAATAACCAAGGATGAGGACTGACATCACATTCTATGAAAGTCCAAAATATTTTAGTTCTATGTAATTGTGCCTCTATCTTCCCTTGTGATGCAATTTTGCTTCCTCTCACAATTTTCCTAGGGAATTTTATTGTTTTTGCAAAAGAAAAGATTACTGTGTTTAGAAAATGTTCATGCTGTGTTATTTTGAGTTATTTTTGTGGAAACTGCCCTACAATCTGTGACAACCATAATTGGCTCAGTGTCACAGCAAATAATCCTTGAATGTGTCCATCCATGAAATTGGACAATGTTAACAACACTCAATAAATATAAAAAGCAATTTATTAGTTCAGATTATATTTCTCAGGAAAAGGTTGTCACAAGATTAATAATTTTGTGTATTAAAACCAAAATGCTTCTATAATTGTCTATAATGAAGATGAAAAATAGGAAGAACATATGTGTTGTCTGTGCATGGGAGTGTAAGAATGCATGTATGACAGTTACACAAAAAGATATGGAATGAAGAATAAAAGAATTCAATAATTTGAAAAAATGAAAATACAGCCAAATATGTATTAAACATCCTGCACACATTTCACTTCTGATAAAATTATTTATTTGAAAGAACATTAAAATTTTTGCCTCAAATTCTAATCTGTCAAATATTTTATAATTCAAGTGATCATCTTACAATTTAACATGACATAAAAAACATGCTGAGACAATAATTTCAATTTTAAACAATGAATTGCAAAAATTACTTCATACTGTATTTCAATATTTCTATTACAAAGCAAAAAAATCATCTGAGAAGTTATTTATTATAATTATCACCTTCATATATTTAGAAATTGCCTTCTATATGCATCTATGAGTTCTAAACTTCACCATTGTTTTACTTTTTTTGTTGTTTCAAGAAAAATTTTCAATAATGGTAATTTTGACAGAATTTTCAAATTTTGTTTCAAATGATTATGCCTTCAGTGAGTATATATTGAAGTGGTTTTCAAATTACCTTAAAATATTAAGAGTAATTAGTAAAAATGTTGTTATAGAACGTACACATCAATGATACATTACTATTTACTACAACATAATGCTACTGGAATTGAAATTGCAAAATTTTGACAAATTTCTTTACAATATTTATTCAATCATAATAATGTACATCATTACTATCTCATCATCGCAATCATCAACATCATGAACCATGTAGAAAGCCACTGACATAGATAATATATCTGACATATTAACTTTTCCTTCAAAGGAAAATATGTGAAAAAATGTTTTAGTGAGAGAAAGATGACTCAGTATTTTCAATATTTCTTTAAAAATTCAAAATCAGAAAGTGATGAAAAACTTGTACAACAAGTACACTCCAAAACTACATTTCGTGCATAATATGAGTGATTGTGAATGTACATGTATGTGGTGTGCAACCTGAAGGCATGTGAGTGAATGTAATTGCTAAATGTGCCTAATTGGGCATTAGTAATACATTCTTGAACTTGGGATGCAATATGACAGAAAATTTTGTTACAAGTATTACATGTAGGTGTTAAAATGGATGCTCAAATAAAATGACATCTAATTTAGTTAGACTAATATGAAAATAAATTTCAATGTACCTGTTACCAATTTTTCTTATTTTTACACTTTTCTTCCTCCTCATGTAATACAGAGTAAATGAATGTTTCCCATCCATTTTTACACTATAGCTTTGTATATTAAAAAGATTTGCTGCTGTATTGTTTCAGCTGTGAATTTGTTGCTGTGGTAATGCTTCAGTCGCAGCTTGTTGCTTATCATGTTCACTAACTGTTAGTTTCAGTTGACGTTGTAATGTTAATGTCTAATAATACTGCTTTTTATTGCAAATTTGTTATGAATATTTCTCTAATTATAAAATAACAACTTTTTATCTCATGATAAGAATTAAATACAATGTCAGATGTCCTAATAACAGAAATCAGTACTGTGAGTCTGGCTACATGTGAACAAGCAAGGACTAATATCCATTCCCTAACAAGTTTCAAACCCATTACTCTTCAATACAGTGCATTGAGTCACTATATACAGAACCTCTATAAACTCACTCTGACCACTTGAAAATGTATGTCCATTGTTCTACAACAGAGGTTTGCCAGAATAATAATTTAAACTTTGAAACATTGAAAACGTACTACAATTTTTTCTGTGAACTAGACATGTACAAATTGATTCCAAAATTCTTCCATTCCAGAATTGGCTATTAAATGACTATCAAAATTAACATTCTTTATAAAAATAAGAAAATAATCAAAAGAGCACTAAATATTGAAATTGGTTGGAGAAATGCCACAACAAATTTGTATATGTATACAAAACAATAGGTAATACAAAAGGTGCACAATATGATTAAAAAATTCAGTGCTTGAATATTTGTGTTACCAATAATAAATTTTCACAAAAATAGCCCAGATATTCACAAATATAATTCTCACAAATTTTATAACATTTTTGAAAACAAAAAGTAATGTTTAAATTCACATGTAAACAAACTTGTTCAATCTTTTTTTCTTGATGTGTCATGTTAAACCAACTTACTTAGGATGTGCCCAATGTGAGAGTTGAATGTTTGACTCCTTTGTTTTATATGATGAAATAATATATATTTCTGTTGTATCTCCTACAGATCTTTCAGCTGGTTGTGCCTGGTGATGAGGAGAGTTGCAGTAAAGGGGACACTGGAAAATTTGGAAATTGGACACTGAGAATTGTTCAAATGCAGTTCTTGAAGTCTTGGTGTAAAGATTGAAGAAAGTAAAGTCAAGAGGAAAGAGGGGTTAGTCTAGCACAAGAGGAGCAATGACCCTGGAAGAGTGGCTTGTATCAATGCTGAACAACAGTGAATCAACACATCATTCTCATACTTCCTGTCAAGTATTAGCCACGTGGTGCGGAATTTTGTAGCTCCGCCCCCTGCAAAACAACTTAGTATACTAGGTCAAACTACTTAGATAGTAGATAGAAAGCTTCATATTCTTATCATATTATTATATATAATTATTATTGATTATTATTAATACCATAACTTAAGTATTTATTATAATAATATTTCAGAATAACTACCTAAGATGAAAAAGTGATTTAACCAATTTTTGCTTAGTATTTAAGATGAAAAGTGTGGATTAAATACTGAGGTTCATGGCTTATGGTCTCCAAAAGTAACAGAAATGGACTAATAGCAAACACTGTGAATTTACAAGGTAAGAATGTCTCCTCGTTATATAGAACTTACATAGACTGCAGCAAATCTACTGCTCGAGAAATTCCAAATGGGCTGTGATTTACAAATTCAATGTGTAATTGTACAGACCGTTTTGTCTTCTCGTTCGTGAATGCATATTGCAAATGCTCCTGAATATACTTTTCTATGTCAGTGAAGCCAAAAATATCTTTGAATATCAAAGAAATGATAATAAACACTATGAACAATGAATTTGAATGGTAGGAATAGTATACTCTTGTTTTGTTTTTCGTTTTTTTGTTTATTTGTGTTTCATTGTGATTTTACTCTCTAATAATTACTGAAAATTTTATTGTAGAAATCTGAAAATGATCTGTTATATATATTTTTATGCACTGTAGCAATGTTGCTTCATAGAACCTTTTAGAAACTTTTGGGGGCCAACAGCCAGGAAGCGCTTTGCATTGTTGCCAACTTTTACAAGTATCCACCGATTTTGAATTCTCCCTCCTCCCCTTACATGTAATTAATAACCCGAAAAGTATGATGTAATGAAACCTAATATTTATAATGAAATGATACAAAACAATTAATAATGTAATATTTCTACTACAATTTTAGCAAATATGAATTAACCAAAGTACCAAAATATTCATACATATACATGAACATATGTAGTTTGTAGTTATTGCGAGTATATGAGGGGTAAAAGTATATAGTCACTATAAATAATCATAGCACTTCTTTGAAAGCCAAAGAATGTAGGAGGACTTTTCTACATTTTCTTTACAATTAATCCTAAAAATAACAATAACACATTTCATAATTATTTGAAATCCCAAATAATTATAATTTTAATACACCTGGAAAAGGATTTTTTTAATAAGAAACATCTTGTTTAAAAGATGATTTATTCATTGCATCTTGTCTGTTGTCATTCTTGGTATTATACAAGGATGTATTTGTTGGTACGTTGATTGGGGAAATGCACTTAGAACCTCACACAGTCATTTTATGATAGGGACTAAGTCAGAATGTTTCCAACTCTAAAGAGTTTGAGGTAATGGCTGGGCATAAATGAGTCAGGGGGTAGAAAAAAGTTATATCATGTACCATTTGTATATACATAACATTTAGAATGGGTACAAAATAAAACTACATTTATTCCAATGCTGAAGCATTGTAGCTGATGAATGTTTGTAAAAATGGTTATAGTTGAATCAAAACTATATTTTAAAATTTGAAAAGTTATATTTCTTAAAGGTTGTGTGTTGTGCATAGTGTATTCAAACCAAATGTTTAGAAAGTGGTTGATTATCAAAGCAAAATATATTATTTCATTTCTTACATAGGTGTTTTATGGTGGTCCTATTTTTTATTATTTATGTATGTAATATAATCTGACACTAATGAGTGCGATTGGCTGTCATTTTATTTCATCTTCTTTTGGATTAAAAGAACAATATAGTCTAGAACATTAGTAATTTCAAGAAGATGAAGAAATAATCTATATATTTTTATTTGATAGCTATGCAAGAAAATAGTACTTGATTTTCTCTAACGTTTTATGAAAGAGCTTCAACGTGATATTATGCAGATGACTCCTTCCATTTCTTTTAAAATGGGCCATGGCAAATTTTTCACTAAGTTTATGATAATAATATTCTAATAAACTGAAACAAGAAGTGTGTCTGTGATTGCACTTCTAATGCCCATTGTACAATTGTCTCAAACTCTAGGATGGAAACTGCTTTAATAGTGAATGAAGCTGAATGATTGGCTGAGTTTTCTCTAGTCAAGATAAAACATTTGCAAGAGAAGATAGTTAGTGAATAGTAATGTAGGCTTTTAGTGATACACTAACGTATTATATTTAAGAGAAAGAAGTAACAAAGTGAAGGGGGCTGATAGATAGTTAAATATAATTTATCAAAAGATATAGTTAAAATAATTTTGAATTTATTTAACAAGTATAGGGGAAAGAGAAAATCAATGGATTGTGTGCAATATCAATAATGCTCTGATTGACACAATGGATTTGTTATGAAATTTACTTTTTTATGAAAAAATAAAGCAGAATATTAACAACTTCTTTTGTCACTTAACAAACCAGTTTGTGCAATGCTTTTCTTTCTAAGGCTTGATTTTGTATTAACTTAAACAGAATAACCTGATTTTGTATTTATGACATCTGATGGTCATAATCATTGCTGCAATTTAAAAATTATTCTCTTAACTACCATTCTACACATTCCCTTATTGAAACCCTTTGAAAAATAGAACTTGAATGCTCTTGTTAATTCTGAAATGCCATTACAATTACCACAGTTCTGCTGTGCTACTACCTTCATAATCACATCCATATATGACTGCATCATGTGTAAATAAGAAGCTATTCCCCTTGAAAATATTTGCTTATCAGTACTATGGGAATGTAAACAGAAAGACGTTTTTAAGTACTGTAAAATAGTTTGTATTTTTTTATAAACATTATTTGTGTAAAATTCACTTCCAATTCTAAAATGAGCAGAACAGATTTGTGTTTACAAAATAATACATTATCACTGTTTTGAAAAATTTCTATTTGAGTTTTTAAAAATGCAGCAAATTTTGTACATAATTGTATGTATAATATTTTTATTGCTCTGAAAATTAGTAACTATCACACTAACGCTTTATTAACTGTGAAAGAGCAGGATATGTTCATTCAGGTCCTATTGTGATTTTATTCAACAAAAATAAGGATGTAAAAACTTTTAGTGCCAAGTTTACAATGATATATTTAATTAGTCATGTGGTACAAAATATTTCAGAAATATATTATCACTTTAAAGTGTGAGGAAGTTAAGAATAGGCATTTGGGAAATGATTAGAGATGTAGAGACACACGCAGGGTGTTTTGTATATTTTAAAATTTATTTTGCATCGATAAAGCTCTTCTTTATCTATTGAATTTTTGTTAATTTAATTATGAACATTTTTATCACGTGTAATATGCTCTCACAATTCAACAGTTCAATTACTGTGCTGCCTTTCGTGTAGAACTCAGTGCACAAAATATAATAAAAATATATATATAATAAAATATAATTAATAAACACACAAATACACGGGACTGCAAATGATAATCCGTAATGTGCGTGGGGGTTGGGGTGACTAAGAACAACAAACAAGAACATTTTTGCCACTTGTCTGTTGATATTTAAAATAAAACCCCCAATATAAGAATAAACTGCTATGAAGTGATTCTTGGATACAGGGTATGTTTTTTCAATTATTTGTGTAAATGTTTTTCCTGTGGAACCAAAAAAAGGAGCAACTTTGGTGTACTCTCTCAAATAGATTTTTCACAAATCAAAGAAAACCTAGTGATCCCTTTTTAAAACAAGATATGCTACATTAGTCAACTGTGCCATAATAAGGGGGACACCGCAGAATCTCATTCTGTGGACGTTGTCATTTCTCATTTTCTCAGTCATATTGTATATATTTATTTGAAAATAAATGAAGTACTTTTCAGTATAAATATATTGGATGTGCTTTGTCCAACAGGTCTGAACAAAAATTTGTATTTAACCTTTCCGTTAACCTTCCTGTACATTGCTTCATCACATGGCTTCAAAATTTGTTTTGTACAGAAATATGAAGCAAGCCAAAATGATTAATGTACATAAGGGTTAACTACTAGTCACATTAATTTTATAGTGCCATGAACATATATTCTGAAGACAAATGACATTGTTATAGGCTAATGAAATTTTATTTCCTCATGGCCAGTAGTTACAGTCTCAACAGAGGTTTTCAAGAGATTTGAACTTGTCTGCCATCCATGCTATGTACAGAAGAATTTATTAATCATAATCAAGCATGTAAATGTCATTTGTATGAATTAACTTGATACCTGTAAAATTTATCAGAAAACACAATGGAAAAGTAAGTTTATCAAGACAAGATATGATAAGAAGTTTAAATTTATGTATCTTAATGGACTGATCAATGGGAGAGCACAACAGAAGACTGAAGTCTCTACTGTAAACAGTGCATTTCAACATACAAAAGGAAAAACGGAATGAAAACTCTTGATAGCCTGTAGCAGCCGTGTCCTCCAACATGAAAAAATAGAACAACCTTCAATGTGAGCCGAATGGACTTTTAAACATGGACTTTTGTAAAAAGCAACATGTTTGGTTCACATTGTAGATTTCTAAACTAATTCACATCAATATCTTTTTTAAGTAATAGATTTGAAATGTAGGCATCTTTCCAAAGGTTATGTGGCAAAATAAGAATTAAGTTTGGTGCTAGCTTCTCATATTCTAACTTTTTTTCTTTCTTTTCTTTTTCATTTTTTAACACAAATTCTCCTTTATCTGACTGACAACTGTACCATATTAATTTATGATTGGTAGCACACCAATACCATAAACACAGAGTATGTGGATAGCCTGTTCCTTCTTTTTTGCAGTTTATAACCAATTAATATATAATATAAATATGTATAATATAACAGTATATATAATATATATATTTTGATTTGTTCTTGCCATATGATTATAAAAGTGGCAAGAAAGAAGAGGAATGGAGCATATTATTATATGTCCATAATTTGTATAAAAATAATTAATAAAATTATTTGCTGAGAGGTGAAATTGTAATGCAATGTACTGTGACCAGTGACATAGATGATGTTTGATTCACTTTGGGACCAAGTACTTGGTTTTTTGTGATTTGCAAAATAATGTGACTGGTTCAGAGAAGAAGAAAATATACAGGTGAAATGATTGATTGTTCTTAAAAATCAGATAAACCTTCGTGAACTTTTAATGCAAAACTTTTTTACCTTTCAGCAAATTACCTGCATTTTTTTGTAAGGAATATTTTTAAAACGTAATATTATAACACCTAAAAAGAAAAAAAATTAATTTATATTTTGAGAGGTTGGAGAAATGGTTGTTGTATATATTGTATACTATGTACATGTTTGTCCCCAATGTTCAGTATTTTTTTCTTTGTGAGTGTATCAGTGAGCTTGTGCATCATCCTGAATTTCATAATTTTTATTCACTGAAGTACTTTTAAAAATATTGGTTTAGTGTATCATTCATTATATATTTGGTCATTTTTGATTTCACAATATTAAAATACATCAATTACAGGACTGATATTCATATATCTGTCATGTCAAAATGTCATGACTAATAGGAAAACAGCTTAATAGGATTAGTTACATTATTTATATGACACAATAATGTACTATAGAATCAAAATAAATAAAAATAAATATTGCCAAACTCATGTCGCATGAAAGAATGAAAAATCATATCTGCCAGTGAGCATATAAAACAAATTATAAATACCAGTTTTAACGAGTTGTATTGTTGGAAATTTTTACTAAAATATAGATAATTCATGATATTAATGAAAATTAAGAAATACAGTTAGTATACATAATGGTGTATCAGACAAAGAAAACTTATTTCTTATTCCAGTGATGAAAATTAGTAATAATTTCATTACCATCAAATTGAATTGAATTATCAAACAGACCATTCTCTAACCTCTTCAATATGTTTCTTTAGTTATTTCCTTTTCTATGAGAAAAAGAAACAATGAGTGGTTGATAAATTCATAAGTTTTATAGCAGGCTAGAGTGCTGGATACATTAGATAACCAGGACATTGTAAATTGGATTCATAGAATAATGATTATGAACTACTATTATATATAACTATAGCAAGACAGTATTAGGTTCAGTCACATCTGTTATTTTTTTTATAAATAGGGTGACCAAATTTATCTGATAAAATCCTTCATTGGGGAAGTATATAAAGAATGAAGAATATACAATATACATAGAAAAATATAATTTCCTTATTTTTAATCCCATTCCTAATTTGGTTTAAAAATTACTGGAAAGTGTGTACAAGCAGAATTACTCTTCACTCACAAACATGTTCTAAATCGAATTAATGTCCAAATATGAATTCAAGACTATATCAACACAAATATGGAGAAGTCTTATCATTTTTTAAATTGTATATAGTATTTTCTTGTGAACTGCCAAACGGAGGAACTTTGAAAGTAAAGCAAAATACCTCATCAAATAAAAGGTATGTGTAAGATAACACAGAATGAGAAATAAAAATTGGAAAATAAATCTTCATTACTTGGATAAAAGTACTCTGTAAATTAATTCCATTGTAAGTAAAAGTTTTTTAGCCTATGTCAATATTATTTGAGGATATTTGTACAGGCATAATAGAATAGGATTTCTATTATTTCTAACCAGCATTGTTTCAGGTTTTAATGATTTTGAACTTTTATATTTGAAAGCCGTCCAATCTTTCTGAACTGTGTTGTCATATGTGTATCCTGAAACAGTGGGCATATGTTGCTGTTAATGCTTCTGTAAATAACTCCAATAGAAGTAGCCTCCACAACATGGATAAATGCAAAGGGATCTTCTAATTTTTAATGAGTTCACTAAAAAATTTCCATATATACTGTTAGAGTATGCTCTAAACAGTATAGTCGTTATATGCTCAGACCTTACAAGAGATACTGTAGGTTTCCCCCTTTTCCTAATAAGGCAAAACTTGTAGATAAGACATACATCAATATTTAAGTGTCAATTTCTTAATGTAAATCCAAATGAGTATGATCACCCTATTTATGAAACTCAAGCTCTTTGGCTTCCTGTTAATTTCTTTCTTAGTCTGTTAAAAAACTTATTATATAATGTATAAATATATAAAAAGCTGAACATTAGATAAAAACACATTTAGGTAGTTAACATAATCATAGCATACTTTATATATTCATTATTATGATTATTATGATTATGATTATTATGTGCTGGACATTGGGCAAAGTTCCATCTATCCAGTGTAAATCAGCATACATCTAGGACTGATCATGGAACACCTGCATAAGACTTCGTGGATTATCAGGTCATTAACTAGATGTGTGTTGCATCTGTTTTACTTGATTTACTTTTAAAAGAAAAAAACTTTTGTGCATGTTGAACATATTTTAATTTTCTCTTTCAGCAACATTTGCAAAAAAGTAATCAACCCATTTCCTTGCAATAAAGTTTTGATAAATACAAAATTAATTTGATCTGTATATGCTTGCTACAAATGACAGTGACTAGCGATACTGAAAGTTGTGTATACATTATATACTGGTTAAATATGTTATATCATATTTCAATTATTATGAATTTGCTGAAAGACGCAAATAAAAAAATGTTGTTCAGCAACACAAAAGAGAAACTTTATAACTGAATTTAAAAAAAAATAAAGTTGAACAAGAAAAGAATATCTCACTCTCACTGTTCCTCAATGATATCCTGATTACAAAATATTTAATAACTTACATCATATGTTAAAACCAATTCAAGCATGAACAATTATTAGCATGAAAGTATACATCTAATATACTAAAATAAAAGAATAATTAAATATAAAAGAAAAATAATTTGATAAGTAATACTGTGCCTACTTCTGGCACATAGTATTCTCAATTATTGTTTTTAACTTAAGTTACAACAGCATAAGCAAAGATGAAAAGTTCAGAATGTTGATGTACATATACTTCTTTGATGACTTTCCTGATTAACTTGATGGGATTTTCTCAGTAGCTGGTGAAGACATAACCTATCTTGTCAAGTGAATTTACTCAGATATATGAATTTGCTTTGAACAGCATGTACAAAAATCTTGCAACAAATTACAACACAATTTTTTTTTACAAAAACAATTTGTTTCTGATATAAACAATGCCAAACTTGTTTTACTAGATTAGTAATATAATGTCTCATTTTTTCTATCAATACAGGCTTGTTGAAATTGAATGTGTAACTGGACAATTACAAATAATTTCACATTAAAACTTTTTATCTGATCATTTTTCACAAAATATATATTAAAGAACTTAAATATGGAGTAGGATTAAATATGTGAGCAGATCTCACCATTGCTTTGCAACATGCCTCCTCGCAGCAAAATAATTTGCCAATAAATCTCAAAAAAGATAATTTGATAATTTTGGATCACCAGATTTTCCCTGTACAGGTGTTCTGGTGATTGTACCTCAAAATCCATAAATGGAACAAATGATGGGTAAAATCTACAAGAAATTTTGAATGCAGGATTATATCTCTTCACGTAACTCGTTAATATAGGCTTACTCATTAAAAATGAATAAAACAAAGACAAGTTCAAAATTGAAATGAAATACTAAAATATTAAAGTACAAGTTGACTGCAAGTGAATATAACAATAAATGCCAGATGATTAATTAGGTCCTGCTTCAAACTTCTAAAGAATAAAACATATGTGTCAGTTTTGGAAGATCATTAACATTTATTTCATTCTTTACACTTATTGGGATGGTTTCCTAACCTTTCTAACAGAATTCTTTAATATGGTAATGCAAAGCATCATAATATTCCACAGAAGACACTAGCTCTAAATCTTTGCAGATCACTCCCCGTTTACAATGAGAACTTTTACTTAATTCATAAAATGTAGAAAATAATGTGGAACATTATCTCTTCAGTTTTTCTATCCTGTAGTGAAAGACAACAATCATTAAGTGGAATACATTTTTTAAGGTTTGAAATGAAATGTTCACTTTGGAATATTAATGAAATAACATTATATTGTCAAAAAGATTTTAAAAAATGTAGACTTTTGAAAAAGTCAAGAATTACGACATATTGGTGTTATTGCAAGTTCCATTTCAACTTCAAGTCATATTAATATCCTCATTACCGTCATAAATCATTACTAGGTAAAACCTAGCCCACGAAACAGTCATGCTAACTGTGATACTAGTTGAATCAACACAACTCTCTAGTTTTCCACTTCAAATGTTTACTGAGAGAACAAGAAGTAATTGAAGTTCACAATAAAACAAGGTGAACATACATTGTGTTACAACATGATACAAAACTTCCAGAAATAGATACAGAGCTTAATCATCTGTCTTTCTCTGGAAAATTCTAATAAACTCCTCAAGACCAATGAACGATACTTTGTCCAGACAAAAAGGAAAATACCACATACTGCATTGCCAATTACCTTAGTTGTATTTCATTTTCTTTTCTTTTTGAGTTATTTTGAAATGTAAGGACTGCGTTGTCCAAACATCAAACCAAAGATAAAAAAACACACTAAAATATGGTTACAAAAAAAGTGACTTTTGAACTGTTATGATTGCAACCATTTTGGTAAATCACACTGGAATATGTATGAAGTATGGAACATCAGATTTGGCAAGTAAGTGAATCGCACAATATGCAACAGTGAGCAATTTCTAAGAAGATCAATCAAATTGAAAAAGAAGTTATTTATTCATTTAAAATTAACAACAAAAAAAAATAATTAAAAACTGTGAGAAATTCTAGGGGGACAAATGCAACTTCTGAATATTTTCTTGAGCTGTAGGAATTCAGATAGTAATGAGTGTTTTCGGCAAGATTAGATAATAAGAAAACATTTTCTCCTGTGTACCAAAAGCTATTTGCTAAGACAAATGAGATACTGATTTGGGCTTTTATTCTTTATCATACCACACATGAAAGAATCAACATATTTTCATGAGAACCTGGAGAACGATAATTTGAATAACTATGCCCCACAGAGATCAAGAAAACATATACAGATAATGAAGCTACATTTACATCCAGAAGAAAAACAAAGGGCCACCTCAACATTTGTTCAAAGGATCAAGGGATACTGGATGAAAAACCTGATGGAGGTGAGATAGCCTTGGAAAAACATAGTAAATATAACAGAAACTTAAAGTGTACATCAGGGGAACCAATACATTCTTACTAGGTAACAAACTGCATTATTTAATGATTAAGATTTTAAATTCATAAAATTGACATAAATTACTGGGACATTATTAAAAACTAGATCTACAGATAAATAACTGGCAGCTTGTTTTACCTACATCTACCAATGGTTCCTTCACCTCACATACATTTAACTAACATGTGAGGCACCAAAGAAGATGAAATCGTTTTAAAAATTATTTTTTTTAGATTAAGGTCATGTGCAACACATTCTGCACAGGTAATGTTTTTATCTAAGGAACAACTATGAAGAATATACAAAATCTCTGTGAGATTTATCACATACGGAAATGTGGGTGAAGTAAGAAATTGAAAAGCAATGTGTGATGCAAAATGTATTTTTTTGTTATAGTAGTATTATATCTCAAAAAATCTGTGCCTACAAAAAACTGTCAACAACTTTTGCAGTACGAGTACACTTTTGCTTGCAAAAGTGCAACACCTTTTGCACTTTTTTCTTCCAAATTTTGATACCTGCTTGCTGTCATAACTTTGCGTCAATAATACGCACAGCATGATTTGCAGCAGCGCGTCGTCTTAATTTTGTTTAGTGTTTTTCCTGAAAATGTATTATATCTTTTTCTAAAAAATGTGTCGTTTTGAAGAAGTTAGTGATATAGTGACGATCTGTGGCAAGAAAGAATTCACAACGTTAATTTTGAACATTTCTAACAACACGAACTTCCCGCAGATGGAGAGTTGTTGAACATTTGTGCAATTACCATCCAAATACGATGTCATAAGCTACTTTGTAAAACACACAAGACCAAGAAAACTTTCGATACCCGTCATTGAGAATAATTTCCCGGTATACGCGAAATCAAATTTACACAAGAAACCTATTTCTCTCTCTCTCTCTCTCTCTCTCTCTCTCTCTCTCTCTCTCTCTCTCTCTCTCTATATATATATATATATATATATATATATATATATATATATATATTTAATTCAAACATTTACACGAAAGCAGATTTCTACCATTGAATTCAGTGTATTCACGTTCTACATAAATTTACCAACGGTGCGCAATGCGTCTTTTAGCTGTTAATAATAGTACATCATGAAACGATATGTAATGATGGGTATTAATACACGAGTGTGATATCACGATACGAGCAAGCATAGTAAACTCCATTACATCCATTACATCGAGTTGCATACGGTACTTTTTCTACGACATATGGTAACGTTTATAAGTTAAACTTTTACAATGAATCGTTTCTTGAAAGTTAGCTATAGACTCCAAACATCTCTCAAATTACGAGTATGTTCACAAAGCGTAAGAAATTCGACGCGGACGACTGTTCGACACCCAATTAATACTAAAAATATTCATATTTTCTAAAAATTTAACATGGCCTCATTTGAAAATCTGTTTTGATTAACACATTTAGTTCAGGGGAAAATATATCTTGACAATTGAAGTTGTATGAAGACGCAGAAACATTTTAATTTTTATTAAATATTCGGAAAATTAAGCATTTCAGCGAAAATGAGACCTGCACCATTCTTTTAAGATACCTTTCCGCAATCTAAGGTCCAAAAGTAACAAAAATGTGCCTTGTATAAGAAAAAATTGTTTGAAGAAAATAAATTGTGGTGCTGCAGAATGGCACAGATTTTCCCGTATTGGTTTTCTATTTCCTTTCGCCTCGGCTAGCTATTCAAACCTACCACCTACTCTTGCCTGCTGCCATCTATTCCCACAAGTACAAGTTTTTGACATTTTCTTAATTTTCGATTCTCTAATAATATAACGGGGATATTATTTTAAGAATATTAAAGGACAGTAAATCCTCGTCCTAAATGGAAATTTTCTTTGAAAAATGTTGAGCCATTTTTAAGAAAATGGCGCTTAAGCGCTACAGTAAATTCAAAATTTGAAGCCCTTTTTCACAAAAAATATTTGAGTTTTCGAAAAAACTTCATTTAAAGTAATTTGAAGTACTTTAACTCACAAATACAATAGTGTTTACAAATTGCTGGAAATGTGGAATGCCGGAATGCCATATCGCGACACCTATTACCGACGTGAGAGATCAAAAACTTCAAATAATTTTCAAAAAAATATCTTTGGGTAATTTTTTATAAACAAAAATACCCGAAATAAACTTTATGTCATATTAAAGAGTGCAATTAGCACTATCCTTTCGAAAAGTTAGAAGAAAAAAATTAAAGCCGGTTTTTGAGAAAATGGCGTTTGAGCGTTTCGGAAAATGCGAAAATTTGACAGAAAACGGTTGAGTTTTCGATCAGCTTTATCTGACATTATTTAAAGTACATGCACTCATAAGTATAATTATGTGAACAAATTGCCGTTCATGTAAATGTTAACGACGGGAGAGACAAGTCGAAAAATTCTTTTTTGTAATTTTTGAAAAAACAAAATAATAAAGCAATGTGAAGTTTATATCATCTTGTAGAGGGCATTTAGCACAATCCCTATCAAGAGTATAAAAAATGGGAGCCATTTTAGAGAAAATTTTGTTTTTGTAATTTTTTAAAATTGCCCAAATTGCAGGCAATATTGCTCAAAA